GAGGAAAGAATAAGGTAAGAGGAGGAAGGAAATAAAAGAAAAACATGTAGGTCATAGTAATCGGGAACTTATGTAGGCAAACAAATCACTCAAAAATCATTGCAAATACAAAAGGAAAGGATTGTGAAAGCAAGGAAATCAATGACCTCCCCCTCAGCCACTGGCTGCAGAGTATGACAGCGCTGGTATCTAGGAAGTGCCCCAGTAGAACCAGCGCTCTGCCCTCCTCTGTCCCCTTACGCAACCGGTCCCAAAGCTGAGTTCAGTAGGGCAAGGGGAAGTAATTTCTGCTTTATTATTATATTGGAAATCTATGTTTTACCAAGTGAAAAAAAAAAAACTAGCATAGTGTACTGAGAGTTCTCAAAAAAAATCAAAAACTTCTTTTGTGGGAAACACAAAAGTTCAATGTGGAATTTGTTGAACTTGAGGTTTATGGACTTATTCCAGAAAGAGCCAGTAGGCTTGAAGGAGCACATTTAAACTAGCACATTTGGATTTTGATTCTTTAAGTTTTCCCTTAACAATGGGGGAGGTTGGGGGGGGGGGAGTGAAGAGAGCGAGAGGAAAGAGAGAAGGAATGAGAAAGGGAAGGAGGGAGGGAGGGAGGCAAAAGGAGAGGAGAATATTTTAATTCTGAAAAAAATTAGACTGTATAACTACTTCTGAGATCGCCCTGAGTGCTATTCCCAGTAGCAGCTTTTCATGCCTTTTCTGTTTGATACAGAAAAGACTGGAGATGGTACAGTTCTGCACCTATGTCCACTGCTTTAGAAATACTAGTTTGGGGCAGCCTATTTCTCTAAACTAGAAATGGGTAGTCTTTATATGAAAAGAGTGGTTCTTATCAACATATTCCATGATTTTTCTTCGAATAACAAAAATTAAAAATTTAAAAGAACCCGAAGTTCTTCAGTTTCCTGGGAAAAAGTATCACACATCTGAGAGTTTTGCCTTTTCTTCTATAAAAAATTTGAATATGGAAAAAGAAAGTGGGTTCCCTCTAGATAGATACTAAATGTTTACAGAATTTCTGATGAATTCTGAGAGGGAATTAGCATCAAAACACTGGGGAGAGTAGAAATGGATTGTTGAAATCATTCTCTGAGAATATTTAAAACAAGAATAATCCAAGTGAAGCCATTTGAAATACTCCTTTTCCCTAAAATAACAGTGAATGCAACTTTGTATGGCAGACATGGGCACATGGTTCTTCTTGGATCCAAAGCTGGCTGCCATTTTCTTGGACCCTCAAATCAGGTGACTAGCTCAATGGAATGGACAATATCAATGGAAATGATTCACTCCAAGTTTAGGCTGAAGTGGTTAGAATCCCTAGATTCATTTTTTTTGTCTACTTCCTGGATTAAAGACTCAAGTAGTGGCTTTCAAAAATGGCTACTAGAATAGAAAAATCCTGAACCCCTGTGGGACTGCATGGAGCAGTCACACAAGACTGTCAATTAAGCAAGAAAGAAATTATCCTAATAAGATTGTTTTAAAGGTTTGTTTAGGATGTTAATCTACTCTAAGAAATAAGGTATTTCTGTGAACATAGTGTGTTTCAGAATATAAATTTTTTCTCTGTCAAAGCTTCTATTATTCAAACTTATATAAAAGCTTATAACAAACCCTAAAACATTTTACAAATACATCGTTATTAATAATGTGAGTATAATCATTAGTTACACAGAATTCAGAATTTTAATTGTGTGTGTAGGGGGGATTGGAATATATTTAGCAAGGAAAAATCTTAAGTTGGAATATTTTCAGTAGTGGTCATGTTGCTGAAGCATAGACATTTGGATTTCAACTATTTTAACAGCCACATTAATTAAGAAAAATGTAGATTTATTAGATAATATAAAAAACGACCATTGAAAGTGTAACAAACCTTGTTCTTGACCTTCCATTGTTTCTTTTCCCCTTTCCTTAATGCACTTTCATTAATTTGGCTTCACTATTTTAAAGCTTGTAGTATTCTGGTTAGGAGCCGTGTTTAGAATTCAGCTGGGTCATGAGGACTTTCCCACCACCCCATTCTCATTTGCAGTTTTGCTATAATAAAAGCCCTAAATATATTGCTACTGTCTAGACGTTTTATCTGAAACAAGTGTCCTTTGTAGTCTCCCAGGACTTTTCTATTTTATTTCCAGTAAATCAAAGTCTGCGAAGAGCTTCAGTTCTTATTAAGACGTAACCTTCACAGTCCAGTGATTGCCAACTGTGGAGAGCCATTGACAGCTCATTTGCATCTAAGGGATGACTTCCATTGGGTCCTTGGCTCAGAACACAATGGACATTTACAGCATATGCAATATTTCTTGTTCTTTGATGAGCACCAAGTGCCAATTTTTATATGGAAAATGACTATTGAAAAGGCGAGGCTCCTTTCCCTGACCTTACCCTGTCTCCTGTAGCTCTGGAATTACACATCTTCACCCAACTTCATGTGGGACCACACCTCCTCGGGAAGATATTCAGGAACCCTGCTTTAATCTGATGAAAACCAACCACGGTTAAAGTAGGAAACAAGAGGCACGAACAATCACATTTTACTAGAATAAAATGTACTTCTGTCTCCTGCCCCAAATTATTGTAACTTGGAGCTGTTAAAGTTTGCATTTCCATAAAGTTATTTTGGCACCAGGTACCAGTGGGTCCCGCCTGTCATCCTACCTACTTAGAAGGCTGAGATCTGAGGATCGTAGTTCCAAGCCAGCCCGGGCAAAAAGTCCCTATAAGACTCAATTAACTACTCAAAATACCACAGGTGGAGCTGTGGCTCCAAGTGGTAGAGTGCTAGTGTTGAGCAAAAGAATTCAGAGACAATGCCCAGGCCCTTAGTTCAAACATCAGGAGCAATAAAAAAAGAAAGTTATTTTGGCATTATTTTGTATTAATTTCCCCTTATAGATACACTTACCATTTTGAATAGAATTCACACAGCACAACTTAAGTAATCCAGTATTCAAGTTTATAACTGCCTTGTAGTATATCTGCATGTACTTCTGATATTTTAAACAGTAAAGGTAGAAATCTAGCCAGGTGGGGTGTGTGTGTGTGTGTTGGTACTGGGTCTTGAACTCAGGACTTCAGACATTTAGCTCCACCTTTTCTGTACACAGTTTGTACTCTATCACTTGAACATGCTTTCAGTCTGATATTTTCCTGGTTAATTTGAGGTGGAATCTTGCAGAGTTTTTGGCTCAGACTGACTTTGAACCATGATCTTCCAGGTCCCAGTCTCTTGAGTAGCTAGGATCACAGGCGTGAGTCACAGGCACCTAGCTGAAATTGAATCCCATTTTCCTTAATTTTAAAAGGAGCAGTTTGATTATACCTTATTTACTGAGATTCAGATTGTGTGCAATGTTTCTTTAACATTGAGGTTTGAGCTCACACTGGCATTTTCTAGGTAGGGGTAGAAGCTATACCACTGAGCAACTTCTCTTTGTACTGAATTTTACATATGTATGGTCTTACTTCCTGCCCAGGTATGTGCCTGGATTACAATCCGCCTATTTTAGGCTTTTTTTCATGTCCAGAACGACAGGCATATGCCACTAGACACAGTTTTATCAGGGTTTCTTATGCTGGCCTGTGAACCACAACCCCCAGTCAGCTCAGCCTCCCAAGTAGTTAGAATGACAGGCTCGTACCGATATGCCTAGCAGTGGTTGAGGAAGGCCTCACAAATATTTCTGGATGGGCTGGCCTCCAGTCATGAGCTCCCTGGTCTCAGACTCCCAAGCAGCTTTGACCATACCAAATTCACATGTAGTTCTTTTAACTGGGTATTTTTTCCCCCAGGATGTCAATAAAGAAAAATAAACATCTTAAAGTTTAACCATCAATAATGAGGATATACAACTTAATGGCATAGAGAAGTTATATTTTAGCTAGAAACCACTATTTATTTTTCCCTATCAAATGTTTTAGCTCTCATATTTTGTGATTAGACTTTGCCATGGCTTTTAGTCAATCTTCCTCCTGGTTTTGATGAGGCATAGACCTACATGACTCCTCTAATTGCATTTCTAAAAATTCATTTTGGTAAAAATGTGTGTGTGTGTGTGTGTGTGTGTGTGTGTGTGTGTGTGAGTGTGAGTGTACTTTACAGTAAGCCCCAATTGCATGAAAATAGCCTGAGAGAGCTGTTTAAAACCCAATAGTATTCTAAAAGTAATACATCAAAGGTAACAACTCTGATCAACAAAATAGGGAATTGGTCATGCAGTTCTCATCTCTATTTGCATCTTGTCTCCATGCTGTGCATAGATTCTGTTCTTTCAACTCTTGCTGCTCACTTGTTACTCTAATCATATTCTTGAATATGGGTGGATGAATGGACAGATGGATGGATAAGATAGATGGATGGAATTAAAATTATGTTTCTCAAGAAATTGATAAGTTAGCTACTACACTGCTAATTCTCTAAAGTAAAACTAAAGTAAGTAACTGTACAAATAATATATATAATTGCATTTTTCACATGACAACATATGATGTGTCCAATAAGACTGTGCTAAAAAATAACATAAAGCATTTTTTTCAGAAGCCATTTCCCAAAGAATTTACGTGATGAAAGAGAGTCTGGAAAAAACAACAACAAAGAAACAGACATATATTATTTCAGCAAAACATCATAATATTATCATTTTAATGAGTAAAAACTATGATTCCGATAGTGCTTTACACCCGAATCATGAGTTTTTTTAAATAAAAATTGTAATGTTAATAGCTTTATTGGTAATACAGCCAAAAATTTCAGTCTAGTGAAAGTAGTATTGCCAGTCTAGTGAAAGTAGTATTGTGTGAGTTTACTTCATTATGATAAAGCAGATGATTTTTGAAGAAGATAAAATGAGTGGTGTTCATCCAAAGATATTCAGAAATTATGGAATAACTTGTCAAAGTCTTCTTGTTCCTATTCAGTTTTTTTTTTTCCTTGTTCATTCCCAACTCATCCATATCCACTATTAATCTGTATGTGTGGGTATACAGATTCAACTAGAAAAAGGATCAATCTTGCATTATCTTGTTTTGAAATCTTATTTAACTTCTTTTGATCTCTAACATTGTTTCAGTTTCCTTTCTCTTATGGATTTTGCCACCAACTTTCCAACAACCCGGATGTTAGCTCTTTTGAGTATTGGATGTCCACTCACTAGAATACAAAAGATATATATTTACATTAAGAATTAGTCAATTAGTACAATAGAAATGCATTGTGTTTTTTAAAACTGTAGAATATAGTACAAATTTGTGGCTATTCTATGACATGCTAACAATTGGAATTGACACTGTATTCATTCATTGAATTACCTTCTATATCATGCCAAGACACTCAATTAAAATTATTTTTGGATCAAAATGTTGAGGGAAGAGATGATAGGAATTGGATCCCATTGACACACAGAATGCTTGAAGTAAGTCTGATGCAACATATGTTTGATCATAAGAAGGACAGTATTGAAATTATCCACCCTTCTGATATTGATATTTGAATCAATGTGAACCATTATTTGTATCAACTGCTTGTATTTGATCCCTTTATCTACAAAATTTTTTAATTAAAAAAACAGAAGTCATACATTTACTGTGGCTACCATTATATACAGCATTTTGTAGACAAGATAGTATTTATATTTGCTATTCAAGTTCTATAGTTGTTGAATAGAAACATAATTGACTGATATAAAATGACAGTCTCCATGCCGAATGGAAACACGTGACTTGGTGTAATGTAAGAAATGGAATACAGTTATGTTCATGCATACTTCATCATCATGAAGGAAAGAAAAATGCCTTATAACAACAAAATTAAATTAGATAGCATTAACAAAGGATCCATGTAAGAATCACTTTAAAATATAAAAATTAAAAAATGAAGAACAAAGGGAAGGCAGGTTTATAAAATAAACATGTGCTCAACCTCATTAGTCATCACGCAAGTACCAAATTTGCTAGGGAATTATCTTCACTCACCTGTAAGCATGGATGGCTAATATCGAAAATATTGGTGAGAGTGTAGAGATGAGTGAAAGCTGTCACCATGTTGGTGGGAGTATTACAAATGAAATTGGAAATACCACAGACTCAGCCATCCTCCTTGTCCTCAAAAAATGAAATGAAATGGACAGGCCACCTCATAGAGACATCTGCACTTCCACTGTTCATCACAGCACAGCAAACAATAGTCAGGGCATGAAGACAGACCTGTGTTCATTGGGTCTTTATTTCTGGAATGAACTTAGCAGCTATCTTGTCCAGTTGTTGAAAGGATCCAACAATATGGATCAAAAGACATATGGGTAATAATATCTCATTGGTACTGTTTCCTCAGTTGAATCAAATATGCGAGGTGTTAAAAATAGGGAAATGTAGGGGGTGTATGGGAACATGATGTACTTTCCAATCAACACTTTTGTAAGCCAAAATGATGCTAATAAAGTCTATTGATTCAAAAGGATACACCAAGCTCAGAGAGACAAACGGCACATGTTCTCTCTGATACGGGGAAGTTAGGTCTAAACTTCACTGGGCTATGACAAATTATACAGGATTCTAGATACTTACACACATTCAAGCTAAAAAGAGGATACTCTTTGGAGAGAAACCCAAAGGCACAATGCCTAAATGCTTCTTCATGTTTATATAAAATAATACACATACTGAAACAAACTTCAAGATATGGAAACAAGACTTCGGTGTGTAGTTTTTGATGATTCTGTCTCCTTTACTGTAAGTGCAGCATATTCGTGTATATATCTTTGGGAGGGTTGTGTGGAGGATACAGAACTCAAGGGACAAAGGGTGAAAATGTTCAGCAGTGGAGCTCCTTGGACATTGAGGAACATGAACTATACAACTGGTGGACGGGGACAGGAGAGAGGGACTGGAACAGAACTAAGAGAATGTAAGACACTGTACAAAAGGAAATGGACTCATTATCTGACTCATGTGATTGTAATCCCTCCATATATCACTTCCATACTAACAACAAAGTAAATTAATTTTTAAAAAGGATATGCATCTGACATAGCAAATAGTGAAAATAGTTTCTGTATTATTACCTACACTATGATCTAATACAGGTTTTTAAAAAATTTTTCACTAACGATTGCTTAGTTCATTAACAAATTGCTGGTATGTCAAAAGCATTCAAGAAAAACATCACTTCATCTTTCGGAAAGATAGCAACGTAAGTACACAATATTTTTCATCTTTCAAAGTCTATCTCCTTGTCCTTCATTTCTTCCATATGGCAGAGGAGATTCAGAAAATAATATCTTCGATTAAAAGAACTCAGATCCTGAATGGAATATTTTAAAAGTGTTTTAACTTCATTGCTAAGCTGGCAGAGGAGGAAGAAAACGCAGAGGCTGGAAGCAAAATGCAAGCAGTAACCTTCACAGCTACTTGTGTGCCAAAGCTAGTGTTTTCCAGTCCAGTCTTTTCTGTTAAGCTCTAGATGTTTGAACCACAGCCTTTTCAAGAGGAGTGGAGGCAGGAGATAAAAATGTAGGGTTCACACCACCAAATGGAAGTCTAGCCTGAGAGCACCACTGAGGCCAGGGGCCCTGCAAGGTGACCTCATCACAAAGAGTGCAAGTTAGGGAGGGAATGAAGACAGGAGGAAGGGAGAAAGGCAGAGAGGGAGAGGAGAAAGCCAGAAGGAAAAAGGGAAGGGGGCCAAAGAAAGACAAATCTTCAAAGCAGGGAAGAATAAATAATATTTCTAGTGTTTCTTTAGTTAGTTAGTGTTCCAGTTTATGGTGCTTGGTTGGCCCAATGATCCATCATATCTGAGGTTTAATAAGAATGAATGAAAAAAAAATGTCACTAGAGGAAGGCAGTTTTGACCAGAGCCTTTAAAATATGTCAGAGAAGCAGAATTTAAAACCTCAAGAACAGAATATATACTAGCTAGTTGTACATTTTTTTCTTTGTTATTTATCCAGCTGAGATGATTTACTTTCAGCCCCCTGTGGCAGGCCATTGCTGAAGGTAGCAAGGACCTGAAGGATGTAGGCTGCTGGAGGGAGACCTTTGAAGGTTATTGCGGGTCTCTGATCCTGTCTTCCTTCTAGACTTCCTGTCCATCATGAGGTGAACAGCCTCTGCTATATTCTCCCAAGAAATCACATATTCAGTGCACACACAGAAAATCTATTTAAGTACTTATCATTAACTACCATGCTAGATTATCTATCAAATTCAAAGATAATTTTAAAAGTAATTATAAACTCATCAGTTGACATAAATGACTATCCTCCAAGTCAAAATTAAGCTTAAATATTAAGATCTCTTCTCTCTCTCCCTGTCTCTCCCTCTCCCTCCCTCCCTCCCCCCCCCCTCTCTCCCCTCCCCCCTCCTCTGACTCTGAATATTCTTTTATTTTCATTTAGAATTAGTCATTGTGGTACTCTCAAATCCATTCCGTTAAAGAGCTCAGTAATTTCACACCAGAGAGGGGAATAAAGATTGGTATCAGAGCACCTTGCTCAGTTTGTACTCAGCTGCACACTTAAATAAATACCATACATATTTATACATGATGGTTGTTGAGAAGAATATGAGAAGGGTAAACAACATTTGGGGAAACCAACAGCCATTTGTTTCCTTGTACCTGACCAAAAATACGTTCAGCTGGTGTTTGTGCTACTACATAGCTGGGCGCCTACAGGCCATCTGATACTTCCACTCTCGTCCTCTTTCCTGCACATAGAGGGAGGAGGCGAGGGATCACAACTCCGTCCAAGTCCCAGAACACCATGGCTGAACTAGAGGAGAATAATGGAGAAAAATCTCCAACACCTCAAGTTGGTTAGCGCCTGCTTTTTGCTTCTATAGGGCTAGAGGCATGGTTCAAGTGGCTGAACATCAATTTAGCAAGTGTGAAGTCCTGAAATCAAAACCTAGTACCCAAAAGCAAGAGGGAAAGAAGGAAGGGATTTCTGTAAAAGTGAAAATAAAAACAAAAACTAAGTGAACAATTCCACTCTTGGCTTACATTTTCAACACAGTTGCTTTTATGGTATGTTCTACAGAACAGACAGATACCTCTTGCAGTCTTATTTCTTTCCGGACCTTTTAGGCAAATATAAATTTAACCCCATTGCTACTTCCTTGCGGCCAGTTGTGACTTTCCTGCATACTGTGATCTAGTTCACCAAGCTCATGTGTGCCAGCATTTAGACGGAGTATAGATTTTCTTCAAAAACACAATTTGATAGTGCAAGGTTTCTTAAACTTAACAAACTACCATTTACTGAAATTACCACAGCTCTACTCCAGTTTACTAATCACACTAGCAGGGGGATATTTTTGTATTTGGAATTTGCAAACTTTCTAAACATGCTAAGAACCTAAGTACATTATACAATGAAAATCAACATGCTACAAGGTATATTTTACTTAATGTATTTATCCTGTATTTGTCCAGGATTTGTTTTTCTTTGGGAGAGTTTTATAACCTCTAGATAAGAGTAATCAACTAAAAGATAAAAGATTAGAAAGAGCATGACTTAGTAGCGATATCACCACCTCACCCTTCACGATGGTCTCACAAATGTCAACTTTGCTCTGTCCCAGGTAAAAATTTGCAGAGTTTCAGGTGAACCCTAGGATGACGAGTCCCATTCCAGTATTTTCTGTTGATCTGTCATGTTTGCAGCAAGTAGCAGAGAAGAAAGGCTATCACTGAGGATCAGCCTGATACACAAAGCTCCTCACATGCTCTCCCTCGCTCCTCAAATTTTAAATAATGGATTTTATACCAAAAAAGAGAGAGTGAAAAAAGAACTCTCACACGATAAACCACAGAAAAACACGATTCTTGTGCCAAACAAGAGATAGCATTCAATTAGTTTCTTTAAAGGCAATTCTTATCACATCTACTCCTAATATTAGCTTTCTCAATTAACAATAGCCTGCCGAGAGACTGCCAGCCCTGCCCAGCTGAGACCACAATGCACAGTGACAAATGACCAGCACAGCCCAAAGCCCTCCACATTGCCACAAATGGCACATGCCAGCCCTTCGGTTTTCTTAAATCTTTCTCTGACTTTCACAGGAAGCCAGATTAATATTTATGTGGCAAGAGAGATAAGAAATGCATTGCTCTGCCACAGAAAACAGCTCTCTCTATTTTGTGGGTTCATT